TCGTCAGCGTGTATGGTGATGTATGAAGCCCTTCTACTTTGTTAATAAAGTTAGTCAAAGAAGTTCTTTGAGAAAAAAAAATCACAGCATAGAGGCTTAAGATCCATTACGTGAATGAAAGTATGTATGTCACCTATCCGTGAATCTGTGAAATTTAAAAATTCGTTCCTTTAAGCTTAGGCCCAACAAGTTAGTTTCACATTCCCCAGAGGTATTTTTTAAACGAACAAATTTTAATTTTCCTTTTATATTTTATTATTTTTCAGTAAAATAATTAGGTTAATTAACAAAGATACTTCTAATGAAATAGTGTAAAATAAACAAATGTTTTGTTTTATTAAAGTTGTGGAATGCACAATTAATTCAAATAAGTATACTTTAGGAATTAAAATAAAATAAAGTTTTTTATTACAATTTGAATAATACGGTGTTAATTATCAGAAACAAAATAATATGTTTTTATTGATCGTATTTAGTAAACTCAAAACAAAATACACTTAATTTTTTTTGTAAAATAAAATAAATTGAAGTGAACAAAACAATTTTAACTGACGATCACTAAAGGGAAATCAGGAATTGAAAATAAATGATCGTAAATATCTTGGGTTTTCTAATTAGGTTGTTCCTATTCAGGTTCAGGAAAGAGATTGTGTTCTCTGCCCCCTTGAGCTACCTCTATGTTTATCATTTTTTATTTTCATTCATTCATTTATCATTCATTCATTCATTCACAACCTTTTAAAACTTGTATTTATTTATATTTTATTATTATTATTTATTTATTTTAGTTTATATTATTTATTTTTATTTTAATTAATTTAATTTGTGGGTCATCTGTTTTTAAGAGATGTCAGATATAAATGAATACTACTCGGATTTGGTTGAAAGTTGTTATCTCAAACATTTTTCTCTTTATATACTATTGTGTTGAGTTTTTAAGGGTAAAGAGGATGTCAAAATGAATCATTAATCGCGTAAATTATAATAAATTTTGTTCTTTATATCTTTGCTAAGTTTGACCAATTCCAATGTTCTATTTTCTCACTTGTCGTTCAACATTTGGCGGTTTTCCAGTCGTAATATTTTAAAGTAAATTTATGTATTTGCTACCTGAAATATATTAAATCACACTGTCGTGTTAACCTTCAAGTTGTAGTCAGTTAATATTGTGCGTCTGAAACAAGTGAAGACGTTATTTCGGTAGAAAACAATCCCCCTTTTCAGTTAATCCTTAAAGCCTTTTCTCAATTAACAATTAAACCTTTCCTCTGGTGCACAGTATGGCCTGGAATTTACGGTCTAACTGCGGGAAAGCTCATAACAAATGCCCCTTTTCTATACAAGCAGACGCACATTTTTTGTGCCGGATCTTTTCTGATTTTTATGACAAAGGAACATTTATCATTTTTTGTAAGGTATTTTAATTTTTTCAAAATACTGAAAACTTTTTTTCTAATGCTTTAAGATAAACATGTCTGATATACTGAGATAAAAAAAACATGTACAAAGCATTTTTAAAAAATTTATTTAAACAATGTTGAATAGACAGGCAAAACATTAATAAAAATTCACTATACTTTTATTTATTTATATTACCTAAAAAAATCTATGGTCGAACTACCAGCTCATAAAAACATCACAAAAATACAAAATCAACTAATTACAACCAATTTTCTACACGATTCCATTTTTAAACAAAAGAAACTGTAACTTGTTTTTGTGGTAATAGGTTCTAAAATGTATTAATTTTTTGTTTGTTTCCAAGTTGTAAGAAAACTCGTGTCTGACATTTTTGACCCTGGTATTACTACAAATTTCATTAAAATTAGTTCCACTAATTTCGTGGTCCGCTTGACCCATTATTTAATTGGAATATATTAATTAGTCAAGCGGACCACGAAATTAGTGAATTTAACGAATAAAAATGAAGTATACTTCACTAAAGCTCTCCGTGGCCATTTTCATTGTCACCGAGAATCCAATCCGATTACACGACATTTGAAAAATGGCAAAAAGGAGGGAAAACGCAAAAGGTGGGGTTGAGATGGGAAGTTGGTTGCCGAGTGGATCGAGGTCACGATAGCTCAAGTGGTAGAGCAGCAGCGTATCTAACCGAAGATTGTGGGTTCGAATCCCGCTCGTGCCATTGACTTTTTTATCTCAACTAAAAACCTTAATTAATTGTAATTAAAATTAGCAATCAGTCAGAAATTATTCCCAGAGAAATATGAGTATTAAATTTCTGGCAGCACCCTTATGGATTTTCAGTGACACAGTTCTGAAAATTAATACTAATTTTTAATTTATTGATACTTTTAAAGTATACTGCGTTGTATATGAGTAAATTACTTTTCCTGTTACGATTTAATTGCGATGTTAGCTTTAGATTAACAATACCGTTATTAAAACAAAAAAGTGTAGTTTTTTGCTTCTAAATCTGTGTTGCCATTGTATGTTCGATTAGTGTAGCCAACTAGGTCATAAAGGGGTTGTTCGTCATTTTTCTTCCCCCATGAAACTTTCTAGCAAGCTTTTTCGTTCTTATTTCGTGCATATATGTTTCTGGATTTGTTTGTATGTGTGTGTGTGTGTGTGTGTGTGTGTGTGTGTGCCACGGAAGCGTCATTGGAGAAAAAACTTCCATAATCTTATCAGGGTAGTGCGACGTAGTATCGACAATTTTATCCACTTTTCGTAATTATTATATTTTGACTATCCAGGTTACGCATAAATGTAATAATTATTCATTTTCATCTTTCAAAAAATACCATTTTTCAGACACATTATCCCCATAGGGTCGATACACGACACAAACACATTTAAATTTGTGTAAATCGTTTTGACAAATTGGTTAAAATGGTGTATCGGCGTAAATCTATCAACTATAGGGAAGTATGTTAGTAAAAATGGATGTCAATTTTTATAAATCAGGGGCTATAGAGGATTAAAGATACAGAATTATTACACAACTGAGTGTTAAAATGTATAAATAAAAATCCTTTAGCTTACAATATTAATTAAGTAAAGACTATATATTTGTTGGTATAATGAAATAAAATTGTTGATATACTAAAAAAATTATAATGCAACTGTATTGAAGAGGAAAGTAGAAAAAAATTGAAATGTATTTATAAAATAACACAACAAGAATAAAATATAAGATATTTTTTTAGCTTCGTAATAATCGATGTGAGATGTTTTGAAATTGGAATTGTGGAGAAAATTGGTAGTGATTTGGTGATTTTTTATTTTTCCTGATTTTATGTTGAAAACGGAGAGGAATCTCTTAACTTGTCTTACAACCAATGTTTAAGGATTTCTTCTGAAGCTATTTTTACAATTTAGCACACATTCCGCTGAGCCTAGTGGTTCGGACCATGTTAGTAAGAGAGTTAGTTGGCCTTTTCGTTTCCTTCTATACCGTCGTGTATGATCTGCTAGGGTCATTAGGCAAATTAGGTACTCTCAGACTAGTTTTTAGATAAAACCATAATTATTTAGTGCCTTTAGAGCTGTTTGAAAGCCAACATCTTTCGTATTATTCTTTATCAACTCTTGTGCTCAGAGAAACATGAAACTCAGCTTGGAATATAGTTTAAACTAGTACAATACGTTTTCTAGGGTGTAATTTGGTCCTATTACCCCTACATATACTTTCTGACTCATTTTCATCTATCATCTCACCAAATCAGAGAACTTTCCCGGAACATGGTTGACTATCTGCCAAATATCTCTTTTACCTACGACCACCTGGTAGGGTCTGTCCAAATTGAAGTTACCTGCCATTTTATCAATAAATGTTTTAGTCATCTCATACTGTGATAGCTGGAAAGGAAACTAATTTTTAATAATTCACCGCTATGTACCGTAAATAATATTTTTTGTTATTTATATTATTTTATTTATTGCTATCTGTGCATAATATACATTAAGCAAATAGTTTAATTATAAAAAAATCTGAGAGACCTGTCAGACCAGGAGGCAGTAGGGAGAGAAACCAACCAGTGCTGGAACTCTGTTTTATTTTAATTGAGGGTGGGGTTAAAGTTAATTCGGTGGGTTAGAAAGAAGGTCACTAGGCCATCGTCCTTTTAAACGGAAAGGAGGATTGTAAGGGTGAGATGTTGAGGAAGAGTTAGGGCTAGTGGGTTAGGGTGGAAAGTGAAGAAGCGTGTTCGGATAAGATCTTTCACGAAAGGATTGTGAGAACTTTATGGATCGTTTGATTGGTGACATAGAATGGATACGGCGGAGAACTTAGATTGAAAATATTGAATTCGTTGGATATTGGATGATTCGGCTGAGCCCCACAGCTCGACTCGTAGGTCCAAATAGGTCTGATGAGTGTTTTATAAGCCGTTAGCTTAGTTTTGATTTTGGTCCAAGTAGGTGTCTGAGTAGTACATATCTTTTGACAAGGTCTTGCCAATTTAATCTTGTATGTAGATTCCAAGTAAGTCTAATTTCTAAGTACAGCCCAAGGTAGCGGACTTGGTTCGATGGTGGTATTATCTTGTTGTAAATGTGCACTGGTGGACAGGTTTGACGTTTGATCGGAAACTTGTTGGATTTTTTGTTCGTTTAACCCAATCCGCCAGGATATACCAATTGGCAATAAGGTTCAGGTATTGTTGGAGTGTTTTTGTTGCTAGAATAGGATTGGAGTTTCTTGATAAAATTGCGGTGTCGTCCGCGTAGGTTGTGATTTGTGTGTTTGAATATGTGGGTATGTCAGCAGTTTAAATGGTGTAGAGGATTGGGCCTAGGATACTTCCTGTGGAACGTCAGCTTTGATTGGGGTGATAGGTGCAAATTCGGTGCCAATTCTTACTTTAAACCATCGATCCGAGAAGAAGGATTTCACGATAAGACAGTAGGAATGAGGGAGGATACATTTTAACTTAAAGAGGAGGCCGGAATGCCATACTCGGTCAAATGCTTCCGTTACGTCCAGAAATACTGCTTAAATAATAATAATAATTAAATAAGAAATCTAATTTTTAACGTTATTTGTACTTTTTTAAATTATCCCTTCGATGCTAATATTGTTATCATGTTCTGCTTATGTTGTAGATGTAGAAGATTAGTAACGGTGAACTTTATACTACTACAAGAGATACTGCTTATAGCACACCGATGAGTCCCAGTTTATTAAGAATTTGTGTAGGGCCTGTTTCAGTGGTTCTAATAATTTCTTCTAAGGTTACATTGTACCCAAGAACTTTCTCCTGCGGGAAAGTGTAGCACCACAGTTCGTTAGCAGGTGTGTTGGGGATTCTTTGCAGAATCTGCACTTTCCGTGTAGGGTTATGCCAATTATCTTCAGATGTCCATTTCGTTTGTAGTGTCCTGTTAAGAATCCTGTTAAGATTCGTAGTTTGTTAGTGCATTTTGCTACCTCTTTCATTTAAAAATTGGGTTAGGAGGTTCTTGGATTTTTTTTATCGTTCTGAAGTGCTCATTGATAGTGTGGAAACCTCTGCCACAGAAGAGTTTCTGATTGTGTTTCTCTCATTCTAATTTCTCAGCATACCATATTGATTTTTGAAAATAAAATCCATAAAACAGTGTTGTCTGTAGGTATTTTTAAAACGGATCGTATATCAACGGCTAATTAGGCACCGCTGAATGCAACAAACATTAATAAAGGCTAAATAAGGTTTCAATCCAAAACAGTATCCTCAGCTTGAGTAGTATCAACAAACCTGCGTCCTTATGTAAAATTCAAAGCTACGGCTCAGGAAATAAGTGTGCCATGACTCAGCCTACTATAAATTAATTACCTTCTTCTTGTTACGTTTAATCTGCTACACGCGGCTTACAGCGATAAAATGAATTTATTACCGACGCCCGTTTCTCGTTATTACCTTCTTCGGCATTATATTAAACTCGACTATAGGCCCGATTTTTATCCGGAAAACTCGTAAAATAAATCTTTGTTTTTTTCCAAACACATATGTTTCACTAATTTGTCCCACCGTCATATGGAATCGTTGGGAATATTTTTGGAAACTTGTCCATCAATAAATAATTTGACGTTTCCAATGGCAAGAAGCTTGTTTATCCTATTTATTGCCGGATTATTTGCGGTCATCGGCTCCGTAAGTTTCCAATGCTTTTTTAACGATAATAGACGGCGGTTTGGCCAGTGGGTTTGATTCTCCCTGTCGCGACGCCCCTACAATTTCTGACCGTTGTCTGGAGGTATTTTTAAAACGGATCGTATATCAACGGCTAATTAGGCACCGCTGAATGCAACAAACATTAATAAAGGCTAAATAAGTTTTTAATCCAAAACAGTATCCTCAGCTTGAGTAGTATCAACAAACCTGCGTCCTTATGTAAAATTCAAAGCTATTGCTCAGGAAATAAGTGTAATAAATAAAACCCACTACACAAAAAATTTTTATGTTAACGCACGTACTGACTTGGCTAATGTACTTTACTCAACGCCGTTCAAAAACAAAGAAAGAAAAAATAATAAATAAATAAAAGAAACAATGAAATAGAATTAGATTACTATAGTACAACAAAAGTATACATTTCAAACTTAGTTTAGAGATTTGGCCAATATTCTAGACCATAAGGCCAAAAAAAAAAGAAAAAAATTTGATTACTAATGCTAAGTTTGAAGTGAAAATTAACATGTAAGCAAGAACATTAGAATAAGCTAGGTGGTTGAGAGAGAGGGAGGGAGAGGGAGGGAGAGAGAGAGAGAGAGAGGGAGAGAGAGAGAGAGAGAGAGAGAGAGAGAGAGAGAATAGGTTAAAAAGAGAGAAGAAAGAGGCAAATAGAAGATGAAAAGAAGACGGAAAGAGAGTGAGAGAGAGAGAATAGGAAGAGACGGAAATAAGTGATACATAAAAGGATAGGTTAAAAAGTGAGAAGAAAAAGGCAAATAGAAGATGAAGAAGAAGACGGAAAGAGAGTGAGAGAGAGAAAGAGAGAGAGTGAGAGAGAGGGTGAGGGAGAGAGGGAGAGAGAGAGGGTGAGGGAGAGGGGGAGGGAGAGAGAGAGAGATAGGCTAAAGGAAAAATAGTGTCACAGAGATGAGTACAAAATGAGCATTTATATACAATGGGAGGAGAGAAAAAAATAACAAAATGATTAAATGAGAGACAAAGAACGCAGATAGAAAAAGTGATANATATATATGTTATGATTAGATCGTTAGACGCAGATTGGAGCAATACATCGAGCAAGTTGGAAGTGGTAGAAAGTCAAAAAGTCAAATTACATTAATGGAAAATAGATGAGTGAGATAAATAAGCTTTATAAATCCTGAGATAGATGTAAAGATAGTGTGTTTAAAATAACCATAAAATATGATGATAAAGAAAAACAACGAGTTGCGAAAGCAAATGATAGGGAGGGTCAATGAGAGAGGGGGGAAATAAATATAAAGAAATTTTGTTATTTAGTTAGAATTACATTGAGTGAAGTAAAGAATTCTAGTGGTAAGAAGGTAGGAATAGGACAAACACAAATACAGATTGATGGCGACGGGACGGAGGGAAAAGGAATAAAATCAGAAATATAAATCCTTTAATTAGAGAGTGAGCGAGGAAAAGCAGAGAGTACAAGAAATGAAAAAGAGGAGTTAATTAAATTTACGAGGGAAAATAGAGAATGAAAGAGCGAAGAGGTAAGAAAAGAACTGATATATTATTTTGATTTCTTTTTTTTTTCAGATTAAGAATCCAAAATCTTTCAAAAGTGACAAAATTGTAGTAAATAAACAACAGACTGAAGAATATCAATCCAAATTTATCAGCAGACATTTAAATGTAGTTTACGACGATTATTTTACATTTTCGGTCAGAACTTATAGTAGATTTTTTTAAGGTTACTCTACAAGAATTGTACTCCACATTTTTAAACAACTTTAAATCGTTTATCAACTTATTCGAGAGTGTAAGCTTATTTTATTAAGTGGTTTTGAGACAAATTTACAACAAGAAGACATTTAAAAATATATTTTTATGTTTCTAGAATAATAAAATGACCGAAGAAGATTTTCGATTCAATGGCCTTGATGTTAGCAAAATTGTAAGTTATTTTACTCATTTTTTCCCTTATTTTGAAAAATTGACTTATTTATTAATCATCCTACCGGATGGCTAAATATTGTGAATGTTTTAATTGGTAGGAAATATTGTAGGAAACTAGTTGTAAGATTGATTACAAAGTAATTTTAGTACATTTTATTGGAAAACAGGGAATTTTTAAATATATTTTAATATTTTAAAAAAATTTTCTTGAAGGAAATACTAAATTATCCTTTTTCATTCCCCTGCATCGTAGATTATCACCACCTTTTATTACCGTATTAAATGCACAGAAAAACCAACTACTACCAGTGAATTGCGCTTTATAATATATCGTTGTGTACTGAAAAATTAAATTCAATCAGATACTCTTAAATACATTAAATAAAGTACAATTGATCGCGTGAGAACCGGCAAATTCCCTTTTATTGGCCAATCTTGGGCGATTTTCCTCAATTGCCGCCTTTGGCCTTTTCCAGTCCTGCGTAATATAAGCCGGAATTGAGGTCTGATTGCAAGAAAAGAATTTTGTAATAAAGCTACCGTTTCTAATCCACTGAATTGCAAATTATTATCTTTATTGCCAGAATCGTCCATGCATCAAATCTCTATAATGACATTCATAAAAATCCGACAGTTTTATAGTTGTAATTTTATTTTAAATATTTTTTTCCAGTTAAATGCCACTATTACTAGTACCACTAGTAATCTTTTAAACAACAGTAATATTTGGTGGATCGTTTCTAAAAAAAAATGCAATGAAAACAACAGATCGTACACAGACGTTCGCGATGTAAAGAAACATATCGTTAAATTGTGTTTAACTAAAGTTAACATTATGTTTACAATGATTTTCAGTTGTTTTTGGCAGCAGGTATCAAAGCAGGAAACGACATCAAAAATCAATTCGTGTTCGAAGTAAGTTTCCTGTTTTTTTTGTACTATTGGTTCGTATGGACATTTGTACTGATACGTTTTTCTTATCTTTTGTCAGCCACCGGGCGAATTCGTCAAACTGAGCCCGGACCAGCGAGCCGAGAGAAAGATGGTTTCTTTCAAGTTGACTTATCCCATGGTAATCAAAGTTTAAAAGAACTACAATAAATCGATTTGTTTTAGATATTGTTCAAAGCATCTTGGAAATATTTTTCCAAGCTCGATATGACTCCATTGGCCGAAAATCTGACCCAGTTGTTTACCGATCTCCAAAATAATTCTGTAAGTAAAAATATTTAGAATATTTATCATGTCATGTTATATGTAAAAAATATTATCTCACATTTATTTCAACTTATAAATTTTATTGAATTACTTAATTTATAATAATAGGCCGTTATATATTTTTAGAAGACTAATTGTCAAAACCTAGATGAACTGGCTGATTTGCTAAAAAACCGTTACTTAATACCTTCCAGCCGGTTTATTGTGAGTAAGTTGATATAAAAACCTATGGTGTAAACATATATTTTTATTTGATCTATCATAGCTTGATGAATACAATTTGAGAAAACCCAAAGTCCCAATAACCGAGAATAATAAGGTAAGGAGATTAAAATATAATAAAATACATAATTGTTATAATGTATCACATCGTCAGCTTTAAAATGTTAATTTTGTGACAACAAAACGCAGATATAATTACAATTTGCAATACAATTTTATATTTTAAGGTAGGTAGAGGGGCATCGGTGGCCGTAACGGTTTAGGCGTTGACACGGCGCTCATCACTGTAAGATAAACGTCACGGGTTCGAATCCAGTGGCCCTGCATTCGAACCCTACATACTTACAATGGACTTTTTTTTTAAATCAACACCCCGAGGGTTGATATAACCACTGCTGATGCTAACCCTCGTAAAAAAGGTAGGTTACGGACGTAGCTTCACCGATTTTAATTAAGCTTTTTTTGGACTTACTATGCAGAAAATATTCGTACTTTTTGCCTCTCCTGAAAACAAACAAAATATTTTCAATTATTTAAATATGGATTTTTATGCCTTCGCAATGCATTTATTTCAAGGTTTTCACATAACTTTGGGGAAATGGGCTTTTTGAGTATGGGACAAATGAATATCAACGTTCTTTCTTGGTGAAAAATAAATAAACGTTTCAAATTACTTTGTTTGCAATGTAACATGAAAATAATCAATCAACGGAGCGAGCAAATTCTAGTAGTCTATTGAAACGCAATACTTATTTATTTTGTAGTTTGCAAAGTAGGTTGAATTTTTTAATGTTCAAACAGGAAGTTGTATGGGTTTGCACCCCCGAAACAATCCCCTTAAAAAAAAAGATTTCTGATTTTTCTATTTCTGTTCTTTCTAAATGACTCCGAACTGTCTGGAAAATTAAGACAATGGTAATAACTTTGAAACGTTTTCACCGATCTACCAAAAACAATACAGGGGTTTAGAAAACTAGTAACAGGAGATGTAGTTTATATAAACTATATACATATAATGGAAAAACCTACTTTCTTTAAATAAATTATGACCGGAGATAAAAATTAAAAAGTGTTTGTTGTGTTTTTGTTGATTTCGTTTTTATTTTACACGCGTTAATGACTTAAATTTAAACGTTGTTGACATAGTTTGACAAAAAGCAATCCAATTTCCAACGGCTGTAAATAAAGTTGAAATCAAATAAGATCCAGAGGAGTTATAAATTTAATAAAAATCAGGACATGGGAGAAAAATATTGGTTTGACCTAATCCGAGAAAAAAAGATATATTTTCGGTTTACCGTAAAAATTGTATTTCACGGCTTTAAATGGTAGTTGAAATTCCGATCATTATTTTTTAAAAATTAATTTTGTGACCAATTTTATTGGAAGCGATTAGAAAGATTTTACCTAACAAACTTTTAATTTATAACTATTATGTGTGTTATTTTTTATTTTCAATTGAAAAATCAAATCAAATGATACAAGACGTAATAAGCTTGAATCACGCGAGCAATAATGAAAGAAAAACCTATTTTTAAAAACTATGTAAATTACGGACAACTTGAGTATTGAAAAGATTTCAGCGTTAAATAAAATAAGCAATCCTACGACAGTAGTCTCTCTTCGTAAATTGAAGTCACAAATTTATTACGGTTAAAGGTTAAAAATATTTTACTTTTTACGTTTAAAATGTTTATATTCAACTTGTATATCATGACGATTAGTTTCAAAGTCATGATAAAGGGTTGATAATAGATGGTTCAAAACCGTGAAGAACAAACTGAGTTTTTTTTGGTTAATTTAAATTTTCCTGGATTTATATATCCATATAATAATCTAATATATAAAAATAATAAAATAAAAATATATAATTAAACTGCATAAATTTAACTGCAAACACCTACAGATTGTGGTAGTGACCACTTATCTACCACTATCTGAGAGCAGCCTGGCTGATGAAAGTCTTTTTTTGATAATATAAAATTAAATTTTATAAAAATGCAAACGTTTCTTATTACACTTCTGTTATCGTAGGTGGATGTGGCTACAGATGTCCCAGCTTCTGTGTCTGCAAAGGTAATACCTTTTATTATTAACTTATTTAATTATAATCGTTTTTTATTGCACTTCTGTTATCGTAGGTGGATGTGGCTGCAGATGTCCCAGCTTCTGTGATTACAAAGGTAAAACCTTTTATTATTAAAGTGTTTAATTATAATCGTTTCTTATTACACTTCTGTTGTCGTAGGTGGATGTGGCTGCAGATGTCCCAGCTTCTGTGACTACAAAGGTAAAATCTTTTTTATTAAAGTGTTTAATTATAATCGTTTTTTATTGCACTTCTGTTATCGTAGGCGGAAATGGCTGCAGACGTCCCAGTTTCTGTGACTACAAAGGTAAAATCTTTTATTATTAATGTGTTTAATTATAATCGTTTTTTATTGCACTTCTGTTATCGTAGGCGGAAATGGCTGCAGACGTCCCAGTTTCTGTGACTACAAAGGTAAAAACTTTTATTATTAAATTGTTTAATTATAATCGTTTTTTATTGCACTTCTGTTATCGTAGGTGGAAATGGCAGCAGACGTCCCAGTTTCTGTGACTACAAAGGTAAAACCTTTTATTACTAAATTGTTTAATTAAAATCGTTTTTTATTACACTTCTGTTGTAATAGGTCGATGTGGCTACAGATGTCCCAGCTTTTGTGGCTACAAAGGTAACAAGATTTTTTTAAAACTAAATTGTTTATTCATAATCATTTCTAATCAAACTTCTGTTATCGCAGGTGGATGTGTCTACAGATGTACCTATTTTTGTGACCACACAGGTAAATACTGTTTTTTGCATTTTTAAAACTTTTTTTTTTGGTATATCGTTAATCAACTGTAATAATATTTTTGCAATCGTAGACGGATGTATCAACAGACGTACCATTATCTGCAACTACGGTGGTAAAAAGTTTTTATTTTTTAGTTTAGTTTTTAAAATTTAAATTAATCGAGATTGTTTTTAATTCCTTTGTTGCAATCCTAGGTGGATATGGCCACAGATGTACCACTATCTGCAACTACAAAGGAAAAAGTTTTTATTTTTTATTTTATTTTTTTAAATTTAAATTAAATTAATCGAGATTATTTTTAATTCCTTTGATGCAATCCTAGGTGGATATGGCCGCAGACGTACCACTATCTGGAAGCGCTCAGGTAAAATCAGATCGACATTTAATTTTTTTAATAATTAACCGATAATTTGTAAATGGTAGGTGGATACGTCTACAGAAATTCCAGCAACGGAGAATACTCAGGTATTACAAGATATAAATATATTACCTACATAAAAGCTATGTCAAATAATCGGACGTGGAATTATCGATTTGAATTAAACTTTTTGTGGTGATACCCGGAAGAAAAATATTGTACATATGTCCGCGCGTTCTTGCCAATTGGCCTTAGAAGCCAAGAGAAAAATATTTTATTATATATTTTCTTTTGTAATGTAATTTCCTCCCCCCATTTGTATGTCAAGATTATTATATATTAGCGGTTTTAGTATGATTTATTTTTAAAAAATCACATAAAATCGAGGATTGTATTGTATTAGATATATAAACTGTTACAAAAACCATTGAAAAGTTAATGATATGTAAATAGGAAACAATGATTTAAGAGTAAGTGAGAGTGTGAATGGGTTTGTATTTAGGGACTGATTGCGTTCGATGCATAAATGGCCTAGCTGTTGATAGCACCTGAGCCCATGGTCTGACCCCGGACTGCCAACACCCGGGTGGGTGATTCTCGAGGCCTGTCGGTATTTCATTTGTAAAATACTAAAGCTTCCCGTGAATACAACAATTTTTGATTAAAAACAGAAAAAAACCATGCGATACAATATCTAAACTCTTATATACAAATGTTCGATATGAAAAATTGACCTTTTTGGTCCGATTCGCCGAGGGCAGTTTTTTCGCTGATGCCTGTTGTCAATTTCAACGTCATTACAACCTTTAAAAATATCGAATTATCCTTTTTCAATTTCAACAGAATTTAAATTGTTACAACGCAACAAAATTTAAAATACTTACCTCAATGTAACTAAGAAAAAATAAGGATGAATTCAATAAAAACTTCCCAAATGTATTATTTTTGTATACTTTCTTATTTTTTGTAAAGAGGCTAGTTATAGCCTTTACGTGTAGTGTTTAAATTTTCATTCTCAACCCTTTAGAAAGATCGGTTGGAAATCGTGAGGTGCGGTCTGGTGTGACTTAGGTTTTAGAAAAACATTTTCTTTAGCGTGCCAACGTTTCGACCTTTACTGAGATCATCTTCAGGGCCTAGGAATTATAAACATTGTTTGAATTTTACAAATACATGTAGAATGTGGGAAAAAAAGATCTTTAGAAAGATTCCAGCGAATCGGCGTAATGTGAAAATAGTTATACTTTTCGGGGAAAAACATCAAAAGGCTTTGAAAGGCGACATATCTGAAAGAAAGAATAAAAATTGTCTCGTCTAGTTTACAAGATATAACATAAATCAATTGCATAGTTCTTGATTATTTTACCCTTATTATGCTCATATATAATAACGTAAAATCAAAGGATGCAGGTTCAAAGAAGAGATATACACCTTTTCAACGTTGTATTTTCGTAGATAAAATCCAAAAAAGTTATGATTGACCGAGGCCAAAAATGTGTTTTTAATATTTATAAAAATTAGCATTAAAAGGCTTTAAAGGGGTGCTTGAAACGAACACGATTTTTTTCAAAAACAATTTTTTATGACACTATTATTCTGTAAGAGGTCGTTTTTGTAACTTTTTATATATTCAGTCTCGTGTAATACAATCTTATACAATAATAATAATTAATAATCAAACTATGCAATCGATTTATTTTATATCTTACAAAGTAGGCCAGACAATTTTATTCTTTCTCTTAGATATGTCGGCTTTCAATTTTATTGTACGTAAACAAATTAAATCGTCTTGTTATAAATTAAAATAGAACCAAATGCACAACAAAGGCAGAAAACCGTATTTAAAGTACTTAAAATAATTTTTCTCGTCTCCTTGGGATCATTGGCAAGAACACTCGGACACATGTCCAACATTTTTGGCCTAATATCATCAAAAATATTTTCGGTGAAATCGTTCATCCCACATCCGTAGCCTCCAGTTTTCAATATATTATTTACTTGTTTATTGTTTTTTATTGTTTTTATGAAAGAGGAATATGCCCAACGAAACAACCGATTATGGAATTAGCCAGGTAATCGCTAAAGTTTTATCCCGGTTATTCTGCAGACATGGCGAGTGTAAGGTTAATACCTAGAATAAATTTTCTTTTTCTCTGTAAATTGTATAAATGTAAGTTTTAAAAAAATGTTTAAATCACAAATAAATACAACCACAGACGCTCCGAAAACGGAGAGTGATATTGTTTTTCAAATTGGAAATGTAATATTTTAAAATTAATTAAAATAATAATAAAATAAAAACATAATTACCTTTTTGTTCTATTTTATCGTAGGTGAGCATGTTACCTAAAACTGCTGTACCAAACAATATCCAGGTAATTGATATATAATATTTGTCATACATATTCAAAAATAATTTATTTTAAAATGCTTAGATAGAATCAGTGTCCTCAGAGTTACCTGGAGGTGACAAGGTTATTTTCAATTATTTTGTAACAGTAAAAGATTCTAACTTCATATTTTCATATCCAGGTATCCACCGAAACCCATGAAATGGAGAATGCCCAGTTTGCTCAAAATAAAGATGTATTAATATAAAATAATATAATAAGAATAATCAAACCAAAACAGTGAAAGAATTTGTATAATTTTAATTATAGATGGAAACGTCTATCAGAACAACTATTTCGGGAAGTAAACTGGTAGTTTTTATATTAAACAAAATGAAAAATGGAAATTGTAAGATAAATTGATTTTAAATTTAATTGCAGGAGGATTTTGAGTTTACAATGTTACCACTATCTGTTAATACGAAGGTAAAATCGTATAAAGATTTTGTTTAAATTTTTAATTGTTTTTATAATCAAGGAGAATTGCAAGTTTTCAAAAACTGCTGTGTATTGTTATAGAATAATTACATTATCAGCACACTAGTGGAAAACGATTTTTTAAAATAAATTTTACAGTTGGGAGATTTAAATTTGAGAATATGTGTTGCATAAAATGTTGTAATTTTTGGTTTAATAATAATTTGGTCTTCCTGACATCACAATGTTTTTCGGTCAGGTAGGTTTCGGAATTTCGCCATCTTGTATGTTGTGTTCTGTGAAGTGTGCGCTGATTTCTGTGAAGTCATGGGTCTTAGCGTCTTTTATAAGATCGTGATGGGGGTAGGGTGTTATGTAATGTGCCGGCGTAAACTTGATCTGTTAAGAATGCTTTTATTTATTTTTAAATATTTTTATTTTTTGAATTGTGACACCATTTTCTTCAATTGGTTTTCGTTAGGTTGTACATTGTTTTTTTTTTACGGATGTCAACGTGGTTTCGTTTTGTCATATGCATAAATTTTTATTGGATAGAAATGTGAAATAGGGAAAATGTTTGCTAATTTTAGGTAGATGAGCCCTCACAAACCTTGGGTTTAAAAAATATCCACTTGATATATACATTTTTTTAAAAATTGCAAATAAACTCATATCTCACTTTATGTATTTCGTAGGGGGATGGATTTGCAGAAACTCCGGTTATGAGATCCCAGGTTAAATTAAATTGTGTTAAATACTAATGAGTAAATATTAATTTATCTGACTTCAATTTTTAGGTGAACGTTGTATCAATAGAAACACCGGCAACCGAGAATTCAAATGTTGTATAAAATTAAAGCTGACAAGTGATAACTACGAATTTAAAATTATTATAACATATTTAACTTTAGGTGGATGATATGTCTGCAGGAACCACGTTATAAGAAAGTACCCCGGTAATATTATTTTAAGACAAGTATAATAAAAGAAAATTATAACTTTTTTATAGTAGGCGGATGGTGATTTATAGGAGCTACGGTAATATCTATCTAAGTAAAATTGATTAAAAAACTCACCGAATACTCCAACTTTTTTATCCGAAGAGCATTCAAGATTATAAAAATAAAATGTTACATTGGTAGAAAAAAAAATTTTATGAACCTAATTTGTTGTTTACAAAATACAAAATGCCGGGTAGCTGAGAGAACCCAGCCAGTAGTAAAGTTAATAGTAATAATTGAGATATTCTATGTTTGTTTGTTTAGTGATCTGACATATTTTGGTGAAAAATTAAAAACATGAATTCATTATGCGGCAATTTAATTAAACAAAAAAAACATCGTTTGTCCCTCCTTAAAAAAAGTTTGAATTCTGAATACCTGTTGTGTTTACTATTTCATTTTGATACAATCTTGTTTACTTCTTCAATGTTGTTTAAAACCAATAAAAATGTAAGGCAGGTTCGGAAAATATGCTAATCCAATAGAGAGTGGCCTTGGCTGTTTTCAGTATCTGCATGAAAGCCAATTTTCAGCACAATAGTACGTTCAAAGGTATTCAGTTGTTACTTTGTTCTCACTTGCTACTGGTGAGAATTTTAGCGTTTTATGCAAGGCAAGCAGGGTAATATTCTACGATATGAGGATGAGTTTTACTCTCTCACTCTCTCACTCTCTCTCTCTCACATTCTCTCGCTCTCTTTCTCCCTCGTTATCGAAAATATGAAAAATTATCCAAAAATAAATTAACAACAGTAATAATTTCAAAATATGATATCATCTCCTGGGTCCATTAATCTATACATCAGTGTTATATTATGTTTAAATATAAGATTTTTATAATTACATCATAGTTTAATATAATTGTTTTAATTTAATAATTTTTGTTTCTCTACCATATACTCCTTGATATAATTTTCCATATAATTTTCCATCTTTATTGAGATCATCTTCAGGGCCTGGGATTTACGAACATTGTATACATTTATCAAATACATTTAGGATGTGAAAAAAGTGAATTTAAGCAATGCAAAATATATTTTTTATATTCAAAGTATTTCTACTCACTCGAAGTGTTTGTCTTCTGTGTAATTGTGCCATTCTAGCGTGTCTTGTTGAGAGTGGCAGTGAAATATTGCTGTTCGAAACGTTGGCAAGATAAAGAAAATGTTTTTCTGAAACCTACATCACACTAGACCACATCTCACGATTTCTGAATAATTATCGGTTAACGGTCACTAATCACAACACACTTGATAAATATGTTTACTAATTCACTTGTTTTGTATTTATACATTTTTCTCTTTTTAAGTGTTTTTATATATCTACTTAAAATTGGTATTTGTTTATATACAATGTTAATTTTTAAATTGTAGTTACTGTAAAATGAAATCATACATTGTTTGTAATACAATGAAGCTAGGTTCGATCTATTGACTGTATTGATCTGTCAAGCGATTATAATAAATAAAGAGTTTAAATTCAATTCAGTTTCTCTTTCTTTTTAATTTTACACGGACGTTTATTTCAGCATTGACATCTTCCTTCACTCAAGCTCTCTCTTTCTCTCTCTCTCTCTCTCTCTCTCTCTCTCTCTCTCTCTCTCTCTCTCTCTCTCTCTCTCTCTCTCTCTCTCTCTCTCTCTCTCTCTGTTTGTCTTGCTCTCGCTCATTGTCCATCCAGAAGTAATAAAGTTTTATTTTTTATTAGTTAGTAAAGTTTTATTTAGTATTTTTATTAGTTTATTTATTATTATTTATTAAAGACTGGCCAGCATTGCAGCCAGAGGACACATATTAAGAAAAACCAGCAAACACTCAATATGATATTGAGTTAGAAGTGAAGGAGAGGGACTTAAACGTGAGAAATAGACATACCTTCCTAGTTTGTTATACGTATTACCAAACAGTATATGTTATATACATTAAAGAATAAAGACATATAGTAGACGAAAAGGGGCAAGGAACTGTCATTCCATCGTCTTTGGGAGCGAGATGAGACATTATACGAAGTGCTTGAGCAGTAGGGGGAGAGCTTTGTGTGGGACTTTTGAATCATTTCGATGATAAATGTACTGCTGAGATTGCTGTAGATAGTAAAGTTATTTGTCTGAGAAATTTTCATTGGATGAATTAGATGCATTGAATGTTAGGTAGCATCGTGTAACCCCATAATTTTACTTGGTATGCCCAATATGTTTGCAGTGGTATCTTGTTTAGAGTTACTTGACTTTGAAAACAAATTTCGGTCCTGAAAGTCTTAAACTTATGTTTTTTTTTTCCATGCTGATCAGATATCTAATTATAGTTTTAAGTATCTGAATATAATGGAAATCCTCCATTTGATAAACTTAAGGTTGGATTTTGGAGATTGCAGATGATGACGTTGGGATATAAAGGAAAACTGAAAATAGTAAGTAGTGGATAAATAGTAAACAGAATAGGACCAAGTATGCTCCATTGTGTGATGTCGGCTTCTATCGTTCTAGTATCTGCGTATTTATTGCCACACATTACACTGAAACAGCAGGTTTCCGGGAAGTAAGACGTAGTGGGTAATAAGCGTTTAACTATCTAAAGGATAATTATAAAAGCGTAGTCTACATTCCTCACTATTCGTAATAAATTTAATATAAATGCGTCACTGATTTTAAAGAAGCAATTGTTTCTTAGTTCATTGGCTGATTTTATCATTAATCAAAATCTTTCAATTAATTAAGGTTTTTAGTTGAGATATTGGGTTGTCCGGAAAATAATGCAGGATTTT